TTTTGGATTGACCGAGAGCACTGTAGTTGTTCAATAATGAAATTCATCCTCAAAAATACAATTTGCCTAATAATTGTGCACGCAGTGTATAGGCCAGTCAGCAATTGTTACAAATAAAAATCAACATAATAACTAAGCATATACAGGAACAAGCCTTACTGAAGAAAATGGATAGGGATATCTTATTTTTTCTTTCTCACAACATTAGGAATTGCATTAAGCTGTTTAGATGAGACAAAAGAAAGCATTTCTACACACAGCCCATAATTAATCATTGGAATTCACTACCACAGGTTATGGAGATGGCCAGTAATTTGGATGACCATAAAAGGGAATTGGATACATTCATGGAGAATAGTTCTAACAAGGCTATTGGCTTTGAAGGCTCAGTGTTATTGCTGGGTTGAGGACAACGTGCTTCCAAATACTAGTTTCACAGAGACAACAGCAGGAGGGGGATATCATAGAATCATAGGGTTGGAAGCGACTTTAGAAGCCTTCTAGTCCAACCCCTGTGATTGTTCAGCCAACTCTGAATCCCATGCATCTCCCATTGGTCCAGTTTATCAAGAAGAAGCCTGTGGCTTACTTTACCAAATGCCTTGTTGAAATCTAAGTATACTACATCCACAGCATTTCCTTGGTCCACTAATCTAGTCACACTGTCAAAGAAAGCAATAAGATTTTTCTTGCATCACTTGTTTTTAACAAATTCATGGTAATTCTGGTATTCACTTTATTCATTTTTTAGCATTAGCAAACCCAGTGTTTGATAGAATGCATTGGCTCTTCTCTGGTTTTCTAGCACTTCCTCTGTGCTCCAGAATTTCTCAGAAGATGTTAGTTGGTGTCTCTGAGATGACATCTGCCAGCTCCTTTAGCACCCTGGGAGGTATTTCATCTAATCCAGGAGACCTAAATCCATTCAAAACACCTAGGTGTTCTCTTACCAATTCTTTACCTATTTTGACCTGCATTTCTCTTCTGCGCCGTCCCCCCACCCCCAGTGCAGCTTTTGACAGGCCAGACCACTTTTTATTTTGTGAAAAGACAGATGAATTTAATTAATCAGTTCACCCTTCTCCCTGTTGTTTTCACCATCTTGCCATCTTTTCCAACCAGTGGGCCATTTCCTTGACTTTCCTCTTGTTCTGCACATACCCAAAGAACCCTGTTGTTTTTGGCATTCATAACAAGCCTGACCCCCATTATTGCAAATTTAGGCTATTTCCCAATATTCTGCTTTTGGAATATGCCCCTCTTTCACTTTTTAAAACATTATAGATGCTTGCAGAGCCATCATCCAGACATCAGCTTCTGTGTTGATTCTTATATGCAACACCTTATTTGTTTTATCCAGATTCTTTTTTTTTTTTTAATATTTTTTTTTTTTTA